CTAAGAACCAGTCCAAGCTTTATTCTTAGCCCTAGCCCAACCCTTACTCTTAATACTAGCCCTAGTCCTAACCCTAACCCTAACAATAAATGAAATCCTATGCCTAGCTTAGACCTAGCCATATCCCTACCCTAATCCTCACTCCTTACTCCTACCCACCCCGACATGAAAAGAAGAATTTCTTCAGTTCCACTATGTGTTCTGAGGAAGGGCACATGAACCATGATGAGTATGACGCAGTCTGTATGCCATCAGCAGTATGCCAGTCTACATAAGGAGGAGGAAACTTCCTGGGTGGAACAATAGTTAAGTGCTTGACTGCTAGTCACAAAGTTCTAGGGTCGAATTTACCCAGAGTTACCTTAAAAAAAAAAGGCTGGAGATCTGCTTCCAAAAAAGCAACCATTGCAAACCCTAGGGAGCACAGTTTTACTCTGAAATAGGGTTGCAATGAGTCAGAATTGACTGGAAGGCAACTAGTTTGATTTTCTTGAACAAAAATAAAACTTCCCTCTGTCTGACAGATACCTAAAGCACATGACACACAGGTTTTTAAATAAATGTTTGGAGAATGACTCTGCTGAACGAGTTGATTTACCCTAGAGAGTCATTTTATGCTGGCCAATTGAATTTTGAAGCATATTTGCCAAAGTCAATGATTTTTGTTCTGTGTTAGTTAATGTTGAGTACTGAGCCATTATTTCTGGTTGTCTTAGGATCAATTATTACTTCAAGCTGATGATAAAACCATTATGCAAAGAGGGCAGGCATCCAGAGTCTTTGCTGGAGTTTCTGCGAAGGAAAAGGAGAGTGGAGTGGCAAGGGTTCCTTGCAGTTCAGACCAACCTTGCAGTCCAGTGCTTATCCTACAGCACCACATGTGTATGCATATGTGTGGTTTAGCAGTAAGATGTAGGAATCTTCCATGATGAAATCTAGTATAATGTAATCACGTCTTCCATGATGTGATTTGATGTCCTGATCTGATGTTATTATCGTACGTCTTGTAAATCTTCTCTTCCATGGTGTTAATGAGGTTTGATGCATTCTACAAGATTCGGTTAGATCTTGAGTCAGTTTCTTTTGAGATAGAAGAGATTAAACAGGCAAGCAGAACTCAGAGTGATCTACTACCATCAAGAATGAAGAGCCAGGAATGAAGTGTGTCCTTTGGACCTGGGGTCCCTGAACTGTGACGTTCCTAGATCCGGGGAAAGATAGATGTTACTACATAGAGATCTCCAAGGAATGTTGGGTCTACAGAGGCAGAAAGGAGGCAAGGATCTTTCTCCAGAGTTAGTACTCTGAATTCGGATTTCTAGCCTCCTAAATTGTGAGAGAATAAATTTCTGTTTGTTAGAACCATCCACTTGTGGTAGCTACTAAGACAGTATATATATCCTAGCACTGGAATTATAACTGCAATGGAAACCCTGTACAAGGTCGCTATGAGTTGAAACCAACTTGATGGCACTTAACAACAACATATATATGTATATATGTATGTGTGTGTGAATATATATATGCATACACACACACACGGAGTCCTTGGTGGCACTGTAGGACAAGCACAGGACAGCTAACTATAAGATTGGCGGCTCAAACCCATACACCACTTCTTGTAAACGCTATTCAGGGTCATTATGAGTCAGAACTGACTAAATGATACTTAACATTTATAGACAAAATGGCAAAAAAAAAAAAAAAAAAGGAACTGAATACATACATATACACTATGTATATGTATTATATTTTTTCTAGTCTTGGTCCATATTCTCACTTACCTAAGCATGAGTTACAAGGTAATACCCTTTGTGTTCTGTTTTTAAATTTGCTATACAATGTTTTTTATAGTGGCATTTATTCCTCAAAAATAGATTTTTAAAAATCAACACAGCTCCCATTTTGTCCTGATAGTAAAAGTAGAACATATTCAATGTAAAAATTTTAAAATAAAATACAGACAATAGGCAAAAAAAAAAAAAAAGGTGAACTATCATCTTTGGCATTTTGAAGTGTGTGTATTCTTCAAGACTTTTTTCCTGTGCATATAAAAGTACACACATATTTATAAAAATAGAATTATACCTTACATGCTGTTTTCGTTCCTGTTTTTCATGTCAATAAACTCAGACGTCATTGTTGTTAGGTGTCATCGAGTCAACCCATAGTGACCATATGTACAACAGAATGAAACATTGCCCAGTCCTACACCAACCTCACAATTGTTGCTATGTTTGAGCCCATTGCTGCTGCCACTGTGTCAATCCATCTTGTTGGGGGTCTTCCTATTCTTCACCAATTCTCCATCTTACCAAGCTTGAGGTCCTTCTCCAGGGACTGGTCCCTCTTGATAGCGTGTCCGAAGTATGAGAGGCGAAGTCTGGCTATCCTAGATTCAAAGACACATTTTGGCTATACTTCTTCCAACACAGATTAGTTTGTACTTTTGGCAGTCCGTAGTGCTTTCAATATTCTACGCCAACACCATAACTCAAGTGCATCAATTCTTCTACTGTCTTCCTTATTTGTTGTTCAACTTTCACATGCATATAAGGTTATTGAAACTATCATGGATTGGATGCACCTTAGTCCTCAGACTGACACCTTTGCCCTTGAACACTTTAAAGAGGTCTTGTGCAGCAGATTTGCTTAATGCAATACATCATTTAATTTCTTGACTGCTGCTTCCATGAGTGTTGATGGTTGATGTGAGCAAAATGAAGTCTTTGACAACTTTAATATTTTTTCCATTTATCTTGAGGTTATTTATGGGTCCAATTGTGAAGATTTTTGTTTTCTTTACAATGAAGTGAAACCCATACAGAAGGATGTGGTTTTTGATTCTCATTAGTAAATGTTTTAAGTCCTGTTTACTTTCAGCAAGCGAGGTTGTATCATCTGCATATCACAGGTTGTTAATCAGTCTTCGTCCAACCCTGATGCCACATTTTTCTTCATATAATCCAGCTTCTCGAATTATTTGCTGAGCATACAGATTGAATAAGTATAGTGAAAGAATACAACCCTGGTGCACACTTTTCCTAATGTTAAACCATTCAGAGACATAGACTATCATTTTTAAGTTTGTATTAATATACTACAAGGAGCTCTGGTAGCGTAGTGGTTACGAATCGGGCTGCGAACTGTAAGGTCAGCGGTTCGAAACTACCAGCCGCTCCGCGGGAGAAAGATGAGGCTTTCTACTCCCGTAAAGATTTACACCCTCGGAAACCCTGTACAGGGTCGCTATGGGTCGGAACCGACTCGATGGCACTTAACAACAACAACAACAACATTAATATACTACAGTTAATTTATCCTTTCCTATTGATGACATTGTCACTGTTATAACAGTCCTCACACATCGCATACATCTCTCCTTAGGACTAATTCCTAGCAGTAGAACTGATGACTCAAAGGGAATGCTTATTTAACCTTCTGGCATTTTGACTCTGAATTAATACTCAGAAACCAAATCTTCCAGTTAGGAGGCACAGAAGTGGAAATTTTTATTCCTCCTCAAATAAACCAATGACATTAACTAAACATGGTGGTATAGTTATAATGAGTTTCCAGTTCAAAGGAAACTCCCCAAACCCTAGGCACCAGCCACAGGTCAGAAGGCAATCAAGAGCAACAATATCCCTGTCATATGCCCACACTGCCGCTAGGTGGCTAGAGAATGGCAAGCTAGGACCCCCGCATCCCATGCCAAGCCTGGGCTTGGTTGGCTGGCGTCTAACTCCGTCTTTGCGAAGGCAGGAGAGGAGGGGGTCAAACTGGGCTAAGGAAGATCTGAGGACATGAAGGCTAGGGCCAGGAGAGATGGCGTTCAGTATTCTAGGGAAGAAAACGTGGGTTTAGTAACTGAGGTGCAACGGTCTTTATCACCGCCCAAAATCTGCGGTGCGCTTGATGGAGGACTGGAGAGGACACCTCTGCCGCGGTAGGGACTAGGAGCGCGGCTTGGAGCAGGTGTGTCGGATCGCTTTCAGGACATCTATCTATATGCCTTTTTGCCACATGGAATTTTTACTGGCACCTATCCCAGAGAAAGGAGCTCTGGTAGCGTAGTAGTTCCGAATCGGGCTGCTAACCTCAAGGTCAGCAGTTCAAAACTACCAGCCATTCCGCGAGAGAAAGATGAGGCGTTCTGCTCCCATAAAGATTTACAGCCTCGGAAACCCTGTACAGGGTCGCTGTGAGTCGGAACCGACTCCAAGGCACATAACCACCACCACTACCACCCCAGAGAAGATTAATTGATAAAATACAACAGGGCTATTATTTTTGTACACCTTCCCTTAGAAATAATTCCAATCTACAACACCCAATTGACTTATTTGCTTCCTGTCGGCTGGCTACCTGAGGATAGAAGAGAAGATCTCTTTCAATGCACCCGCTAGTACTTTATCCCAAATCAGGAAAGGGATATTATAAATCCTAGTCTTAACGCATGGTTTAACTGAAGAGGCAGGAATGGTACACAAGCAGAAAAAGTGCTTTAGAAGTCTTGTTGTTGTTAAGTGCTATCAAGTCAATTCCTATCCATAGCGACCCTGTATAGAGTTTTCTAGGAGCAGCTGGTAAGCTTGAACCGGCGACCTTGCGGTTCAAACCAATCTTGTAGTCCAGCTCATTAACCCACAGGGCCACACCAGGACTCCTTAGAAGTATTACCAGGGTTCAAAATCAACAGCATTTAGAGAAGGTTCAATAGCCCCTCCAGACCAGCTGTCAGCTATGACGAAGTCCTGGGTCCACCCGCTGCCTGTGCCCAGTTCCCTAATCCAGTTCCCAGTTGAAAGAGGCAGCTGTTGGCCACCCCCAGGAATGAGGGTATGGGGGGGAGGGGTCCTGGGCTCTGTGTTAGCAGTTGCCATGGTTTTTCTCTGAGTTCTGGAGCCAACTTGACCACTCCCTGAGATACTCAGATTACAGAAGCAGAAGGGGACACGAGGAGCACCTCCCTGGAGTCCACCAGCGCATCTATTGAGATGGAAGCTTCAGATGGGCAAGGGGGTGAAGGGCACGAGCCACAAGAGAAGGTGAAATGGGACTGGAGGGGAAGATAGTCAGTGAGTGGTTTCAGAAAGCAGAGACCATGAAACTCAAGGAAGAAGAAAAGATGGGGAAATGGTGGGGTCCCTGAATTAGTAAGAGGCCTTCAGGAACAGCAGAGGGTTACTTCAGTCAAACATTTATCTAGGACATATAGTTCTGACAAGATGATTGGAAGGGGTCCCATCTTACTGTTGGTTATGAAGTCACAAGGACTGTGTGTGTGTGTGGTGTGTGGTCTGTGGAGCTGAGTGAGCTGAGGCCTATCTCTCCAGTGTTTGGAGGAGACACCCCATGTTTTATCCCTCCCTCCCTGTCCCCAGGTCTCTCACGCTCACAGGATCAGCACCTGGGTCTTCCATGTTCCCACTAAACATAAGCAGAAATTAAGGATCACTTTTCAGAGAGGCTTTTGAAAGATGAGGCACACCTCCAGTATATCAATCTAATCCTGTGCTCTGACACTGACGTCTAGTATTTCTCAATCTGTCTTCATTAATTTCAAGATTTTTTTTTTTGCGCCCCAGTTTTGCTGTCAAAACAGTTTCCTTTCATCATCACCATCATACATTTTTTTCCTGAGTGTCCATGAGATGTATGGCATGATGAGAAATGATAGAGATACAAAAGGGTGAACCTGAGACTTAACCAAAAACCAAACCAAACCTGTTGCCACCGAGCCGATTCTGACTCACTATGATTCTATAGGACCGAGTAGAACTGCCCCACAGGATTTCAAAGGCTGGAATCTTTATAGAAACAGACAGCCACATCTTTCTTCTGTGGAGCAGCTGATGGGTCCAAACGGCTGACCTTTTGGTTAGCAGCTGAGTACTTAACCACTGTACCACGAGGGCTTTTTCATCTGGGACTTAAGCACGCAATAAATATTTGCTGAATGAATGAATGAACGAGTCTCTGCTCATTAAGACTTCAAGAAGTCACTTACATCTTTTAGTGCCTGAGTGTTCTCAGCTGTAAACAGGGATGATATCTAACCTCAAAGAATTTGCTTCTCAAAGTTAACTAGTCTAATATGCTATATCCTGGTGTGGTGCCATAGGATAAGCACTCGACCTCAAGGTCAATTTGAACTGCAAGATAGGCGATTCAAACTCACCCACTGGAAACCCTATACAGGGTTGCTATTAGTTGGAACCAACTCAACAACACTTAAGAACATCATGAAAGAAATGGTAAGACATTCTAAATTTTCTAAGTCAAGATTTTCAGACTTCAGTTTCTTTGTTCATGGCTCACTCACATCAATGCTGGCTCAAGGAGAGATCATAGAGAACATGGAGTCAGACTTTGACTGGCATTTGGGTCAGTGGTTGTCACACCACTGCCACTCAGGGCCACTGGCCCAAGACCCCCAGCTGACTGCTGTCCTCTGTCCCCTGCCAGGTGATTGATGTGCCCTGCATAGAGAAGAGTTCCAGAACCATCCCTGCTGGAGACTCACTTGTGTGCCATGCCGAGGGCCTGAGTCAGGACACCTTCAAAATTGTGAGTCCTAGGTCCCTGTGAATCCAGAGATTTGGATCAGGAAATAGTGGACCTCAGATCCATAGCTCATGGCCCCAGTTGTTACACCCATGGGGAGGAAATAGGGTAGGAGTTGACTGGACTCTCCTCACCCAAAACATACAATCCTTTTTGGATCAAGGGCGCTGGACTCTCCTGGTTATCGGGTTACTTGGGCCTACCGGTTACCTTTTCTTTTTTATCATGGTTCCTCTTTGCATCTGTTGTTTCCTCAGTGTAAAGAATACCTAAGGCCTCTGAAGAAGTTCCTGAGAAAGCTACACCTGCCAAAGGACCTTCCCCAGAAAACGAAGCTGAAGAACATGAAGCGGAGCCTGGTGGTCCTCGGGGACCACATCAATACCTTTCTGCAGCACTACTGCCGAGCCTGGGAAATCAAGCACTGGAGGAAGTAGGGCAGCTACCTGGCCCTTCCCTCAACACCCATTCCTGGGCCACATTCTCTCCATTCAAGATCATATCCCAGTGTTGTTGCTGTTAGGTGCTGTGGATTCAGTTCTGACTGAATAGCAAACCCTATGCACAACAGAACAAAACACTGTCTGGTCCTGTGTCATCCTCACAATGGTTGTTGCCACTATGTCAAGCTATCTCACTGAGGGAGTCTTCCTTTTATTCCTGACCCTCTACTTGACCATCCATGATGTCTTTCTCCAGAGACTGATCCCTCCTGATAACATGTCCAAAGTATGAAAGACAACATCTTCCCATCCTCACTTAAGAAGCATCCTGACCGTACTTCTTCCAAGATAGATTTGTTTGTATTTCTGGCAGTCAGTCAATGGTATTTTCAATATTCTTCACCAACACTGTAATTCAAATGCATTAATTCTTCTACAGTCTTCCTTATTCATTGTCCAATTTTCACATGTGTATGAGATGATTAAAATACCATGGCTTAGGTCAGGCACACTTAAGTCCTTACACTGACATCTTTCCTCTTTAACACTTTAAAGAGGTATTTTTCAGCAGATTTATTTAATGAAATATGTCTTTTGATTCCTTGATTGCTGCTTCCATGAGCATTTATTGCGGATTCAAGCAAAAAGAAGTCTTTGACAACTTCAATCTTTTCTCTGTTTATCATGATGTTACCTAATGTACCAGTTGTGAGGATTCTGTTTGTTTGTTTACAGTGAGGTTCAATACAAACTGAAGGCTGTAGTCTCTGATTTTCATCAGTAAGTATTTTAAATCCTCTTATCTTACAGCAAGCAATGTTGTATCATTCACATATAAAAGTTGTTAACGAGTCTTCCTCTAATTCAGATGCCATGTTCTTCTTCAGCCAATCCATCTCCTGAGATTATTTACTCAGCATCCAGACTGAATCAGTATGGCAAAAGGTTACAAACCTGGCACATAGTTTGTTACAATCCACACAACTGAATGCCTTTACACAGTTAATATAAAACACAAGTAGACATCTTTCTGGTAATCTCTGCTTTTAGCCAAGATCCATTTGGCATCAGTAAAGATATCCCTAGTTCCACATCCTCTTCTGAATCTGGTTTGAACTCAGGCAGCTCCCTGTTGATGTACTGCTACAACAGGTTTTGAATTTGTCTATGGCAAAAATTTACTTGCACGTGGTATTAATGATATTGTTCTATGATATCTGCAATCAGTTGGGTCACCTTTCTTTGGAATGGGCACACACATGAATGTCTTCCAATCAGTTGGCCAGGTGGCTATATTCCAAAGTTCTTGGCATAGGCAAGTGAGTGTTTCCAGCACTGTCTCAGTTTATTGAAAGATTTCAATTTATATTCCATCGCTTCCTGGAGTCTTGTTTTTTTATCAATGCCTTCAGTGTTGCTTGGACTTTTTCCTTCAATAGCATTAGTTCTTGAACATACGCTACCTTTTGAAATGGGTGAGCATTGACTATGTATTCCTTCCATTTTCTTTGGATGTTTCCTGCGTCATTCAATATTTTGTCCATAAATTTCTTCATCATCACAAGTTGTGGCTTGAATTTTTTCTTCAGTTTTTCCAACTTGAGAAACGTTGAATGTGTTCTTCCCTTTTGGTTTTAGGTTTGATCCTTCCTTCCCCAGTAAAGATCCCAAAATTCTTTATCTCTATTTGGGGGAGTCGGGATTTTGGAGAGGGTATAGAGATGAGGGGATGGAAAGAACAGATGGCCCTAGTTGCTCAGAGCAATATCACTGCACCAAAGACCTCGTCTGAACTTCCAGGAGAATGAACTCTACCACCTTCTTTGGATACTGATTATCAGCACAAGGTGCTGATGTACAGAAGTGTCTGTCAAGTCTCCACCTCCCTACCCCGCTACTCCCCAACCAAAAACCAAGCTAGTAGCATGTGGTCAGTTTCTCCTTAGGTGGGTCCTGGTTACAGGACAAATGTAGATGGGAAAGGAGCTGTGCTCTACCTCCCTCAGCCTCAAGTCTCTCCCTACTCTCTGCAGGATGCTCTGGCAATTTGTCTCTCTCTTCTCTGAACTGGAGGCGAAGCAGCTTCGTAGGCTCTACAAGTACACTAAGAACAACCAGACAGCCAAGTTCCTGGTGAGGCACTCTGGGAAGCTCCTCTGGGTCCCGTCACGTGTTGTTGGTGTGTTCTTGGTTGTGTGGGAAGTCTCCTGTTACAACCAGTGTCCTCCTCATTACTTTCCATGGCTCACTGCCTGAACAATGCCCTCCTGCCCCACCTTTACCTTTGCTGCGGGCACAAGGTGGAGTTGGAGAGGGTGGAAATTTAGCATCAAAGTCTCCATATTTATTCACATAGCATGAGTGAACTCTCTGTGCAGAAGCTAGGGTAGAGGTGGTTGAGGCCAGGCAGAAGGGCACAGTTAGTTTGGGGAAGGTCGAAGAGATTGTTAACATCACTTTGGCCTGATCTTTACCAAGAATTGTTGTTGTTGTTGTTAAGTACCTTGGAGTCGGCTCCGACTCAAAGTGACCCTGCACAGGGTTTTCAAGGCTGTAAATCTTTACGGGAGCAGCACGCCTCCTCTTTCTCCCACAGAACCGCTGGTAGTTTCTAACGGTTGACCTTGAGGTTGGCAGCCCGACTCGTAACCACTACGCTACCAGAATAGTGGTTCTCAAACATTTTGGTCTGGAGACACTTTTATCCTCTTAAAAATCAGTGAGAACCCCAAAATATTTGTTTATATAGATTGTATCTGTTGATATTTACCCTATTAGAAATTAAAGATAAGAAACATTTTAATATATTATTTTAATAAAATTTAAATGCATTTAAACTTTTTTGAATGAATTGATACATTTAAATATATCATTCAAAATAAACAGTTAATCCATTACATGTTACCATAAATGACATAATTTTATGAAAAGTATATTTTCAAAAAAAAGTAAGAAGGGTGGCATTTTTTGTTTGTAAAAAAAGATTTTACAAATCTTTTAATGTTTGACTTAATAGAAGACAGCTGGATACTCAAATATATCTGCTATTACAGTCAATCTGTTGTGTGTGAGATATAGTTTTGACTGAAGAACATGAAGAAAATTCAACCTCACACAGATACCTAATTGGAAAAGAGAGGAGTCATTTATAAGTCTTTTCTGATCATTGTGAAATTTTTTCTTTACTTCACACCAAGACTTGACAAATGGTAGTTCCTTAAAGGTTCTTTGCAATGTGAAATCCTTGACTATATCAATGAGCTTTTCATACTAGGTCACATTAAAATTCATTGGTCTCTCTTATACTTTGAGTGGACCCATTTCTCAGGGGCTCCAAGAGGTAAAAAAATTCCCAGGGGCCCACAGACCTTACTTTGAGAACCACTGACCCAAAATAATAATGACAGATCACAATTATAAAAATTTTCTACGTGCCCAGCACTTTATGGGTATTTCCTCATGTAATCTTCAAAAGCAACCCTCAATGATAGTTAGAATTATTGTCCACTATTTGTAAATGAAGAACTAAAATGTAAGGCACAAAAGACACTTGTCCCAGGTCACATAGCAAAGGAAAGGGAAGATCCATGAATTAAATTAGGTATGGCTCAGACAAAAGCCCTGCTGTAACGCACAGAGAATTGATGCGTTTGAATTATGGTGTTGGTGAAGAATACTGAATAGACCATTGATTACCGGAAGAATTAACAAATCTGCATAGCCAGAATGTTCCTTAGAAGGGAGGATGGCAAGACTTTGTCTCACATGCTTTGGATACATCATCAGGAGGGACCAGTCCCTAGAGAAGAACATCATGCTTGGTAGAGGATAAACCAAAACAAGGAAGAGCCAAGATGGATTAACACAGTGGCAACAATGGTTCAAACATAGTAACAATTGTGAGGATGGTGAAGAACCAGAAGAATCAGGCAGTGTTTCATTCTGTTGTACAATAAGTTGCTATGAGTGGAAACTGACTTGAGAGCACATAAAACATGTAATAAGGCGCTCTGTTAGAGTAGTACTTCCAAGTCAAAACCACCAGCGGTTCCACAGGAGAAAGATGAGGCTTTCTGCTCCCGCAAAAAAAGCCTATACAGGGTCTCTATGAATCAGAGCCAACTCCACAGCACACCACCACCAAACATATAAAAACCACAACCCCATACCAATGCTGTAGATATGCTACTTTGACCAAATCATCTTGCTCTTTGGGTCTCTGCTTCACCTAGGAGCATGAATAATTGGATAATTTCACTGATTCCTCCTTTGAGCATGGCTGACTGAATGTATAGAGTTTCCGAGGCTGTAAATCTTTACAGAAGCAGAAAGTCTCATCTTTCCCTGAGGAGCAGCTGGTGGACTTAAACTGCAGACCTTGCAGTTAGCAGCTCAACATATAACGCACTATGCGTCTTCCTTTGAGTATACGAAGCCTTCCATTTCAGTGATTCTTAGATTTCACTGGCCAGGAAAATTTCAAAAATAATTTTCAGGTTCCTAATTTTAATTTTTCTAAGTAAGGACTTTAAAACCAATCCATCCTTGGGAACCCTATGCAGGGTCATTATGCATCAGAACCGACTCGATGGCACTTAACAAGAACAATTGTTTCCTTACAAGCAGACAAACAAAAAAGACACTATAACTCCAAGAGCAGATTGAGGACATAATGTCAAAATAAAGGACAACCTAGGAAAAGCCAGTTGGTCACCTGGCCTCAGGGTCATCTCCCACATCTGTGTTTCTCACCCTGTCTTTGGGTGAGGCAGGGTGAAATACAGTCAGACAGCAGCGGTGACCCCCAAAGGCTAGGGCTGGGGTTCTGGAATCGGGACCCCTGTCTTCTCAACTCTCCTGAACACTGTGGCCCCGTTGCAGGTGACATTCTGCCCCTTGGACCCTCCGGAGGACTCCTTGCAGACAGACCAGGAAGACAGTCTGCCCAAACTCTGCAATGCCTGGGGGCTGCAGAGCAACATCAGTGGCATGAAGGAGAGGCTGTCCAAGATGCAGACACCAAGCAGTACGGTGTCCCTGCTGGACGAGTCCAGGTCCCAGGTCTATGACAGGAGAGGTAACGCCCACTGGAGGTGAGTGTGCACTTGGGAGAAGGGGTCTGAGAGTGGCGTCAGAAGTCTCTGTCCTGATTCGTTCCTTCAGCAGGAGGGGGGTGGAGGGGGAGTCAGTCGGATGGCCTTCCCAGCAGTGTTGGTCTCTACGATGACCTCGTTGCCTGCCTCTCTCCGTGGAAGCTGTGGAGTCCTGGGACAGAGACCATTCAGTGATGGCTTTTGTCTGAGCTCTCCTATGCATAGAAGTACAGGGAGGGGTTGGACTCACCCATCACTTACTTTTCTGGGATCTGATTACTGGGTCCACAGTCCGCTGCCCTCATCCATCTACTTGGAGATGGTGAAGGCAGGATGGCCTGAGGCCTTTGGCATGGTTCTAAGATGGATCCATTTGCTCCTCTGAGGCTAGGTTGGTCAGGACGAACACAGGGCCTCAGAGGCAGGCAGCTCTTCCTAGGAGTGAGGGCCACACAGGGGCAGAGGCCGTGGAATAGGTAGCTAGCTACTCAGCCCAGGACCCCACTTGGGCTATGTGAAGACATAAACATACAGTGAGGCTTCAAAGAATAAAAACCCATCCATTATTAAGACAAGGGAAATTAAGCAGTCCATGCCTCAAATGAGGAATGTGAGCTCATGGCGTCTCTCTGTAGCAAGGGTTTTGTATTCCATGCTCTCGCTTAACCCTACAACCCCCTCAGTGGTGAGAGCATTACTATCCCCTGAGCCCATAAAGCAAAGGGTATGTTCATGAGGACAGGTTGTCTGGAAGAGGCATGGGGCTACGTTTGGACTCTGTTTTAAAGAAAGAGGTAAGGAGATGGTGGAGGGAAAGGAAACAGTGAGATGAAAGGACTGTGCAGAAGTCAGTGAGGTGAAGGACAGTGAGCAGACAGTCTGGGCTTGAAGCTGAATCGAAATGCAGGTTGGAGAGGTGCAGGGCAGGGGTGTGATAGGGACAAGGGTTGTATGGTGGATTGAAAAGTTTGGCTTTCATGCAAGCTTTAAAAAAAAAATTATTAAGGTAAACTTTACTTAGCATAAGACCAATGATTCTAAAGTGAACATTTAATATATTCACAATGTTGTGCAATCATCACCCATTTGTTGTTGTTGTTGTTATGTGCCATCGAGTCGGTTCCGACCCATAGCGACCCTGTATAGGGTTTCCGAGGGTGTAAATCTTTACGGGAGTAGAAAGCCTCATCTTTCTCCCGCGGAGCAGCTGGTAGTTTCGAACCACTGACCTTAAGGTTCGCAGCCCTATTCGTAACCACTACGCTACCAGAGCTCCTTATATCTAGTTCTAAAACATTTCCATCACTGCAAAGTAAAACCTCTTACCCAGTAGGAGGTTTCTCCTATTTGCCCTCTCTCTAATCCCTGGCAGCCATCTTGGTTCTGTCTTTATAATATGGACAGGGTTTATCTATTGTTGATATTTCAAGGAATGGAGTCATACACTATGTGACATTTTGTATCTGGTCATACAAGTTTTAAAGTAGGTTTTTATTAAAATTTTATAAAGCAAAATTTCATCACATCCTAGAAACTCAGATCATGCAAGAGTAAGAAAATAAAAACATCACCTGGTTTGTCATCACTATTTCTAATACTTTTCAGATCAAATTTTATGTATACACATATGTGCATTTTAACCAAAATGAAGCATGATGTATATATTATTTTGAACTCAGTGGTTTTTTTTGGTTTGTGATATCAATTTACTACCATGTCTAAGCTTTCATTAAATCTTATAGTTGGATTAAATATTCCATGCTCAAATTCTCCCAATAGCCAGACATCTTTTGTAATTGGTTTGCTCAAACCAAGTATTGCATCTGGTTACATCTCTTCTAATCTGACAAAGTCCACTTTTCACACACCGAAATCTTTTGAAGAGATCAGGTTATTCTTTTGCAAAATGTTTACCTTTCTAATTTTTCTTTTCAATTCTTATTGACATCTTTTAATTAGTCCTGGTGTGATGCTGTAGGATAAGCACTGGACTGTTAACTGTAAGGTCAGCAATTCAAACCAACCAGCCACTCCTCGGAAACCCTATACAGGGTCTCTGTGAGTCGGAACTGACTCGATGTCACTTAGCAACATCAACAACAAATTTGTTATTTAGTTTATAAATACATCTTTAGATCTAAAATCTTGATGGAGTTCATTTTTTTAGGTAGACTACATCAGAACGAAGTTGTGTTCTACACCTTATTTTGCATGACTGAACAGATGATCTGGTAGACCCATCATGATTGGTCTGAACCTACTCTTTGCATAGAAAGTAACCTGTGTGAGTATTCACACACCAATGCTCACTGCAGCATTATTGACAACGGCCAAAAGGTGGAAACAGTCCAGGTGGCCACTAAAGAACAAATGTGATATACACCTACAAAGGAAAATTATTCATCCATAAAGAGAAATGAAATGCTGATAAATGCTATGAGATGGATGAAGCTTAAAAATATACTAAGTGAAAAAATATAAATATATATACTGAGTGAAAAGAGCATATGAACACAGGACATATATTGTATGAGTCGTCCCACTTTTATGAACTACCCAGACTAGGAAGATACATAGAGGCAAAAAATTGTAAGTGGTGGATTATTATCACTAGGGATGGAGGGGAGCCCTGGTGTGGTGCCACAGGGTAAGCACTGGATTGCTAATAGCGAGATCGGCAGATGAAATCCACCAGCTGCTCTCAGAAACTCTATACAGGGTTCTTATGAGTCGGAACCGACTCGATGGCGTACAACATCAGGACATGGATGGAGCCGTAGTGTGGTACTGTAGGGTAAGTACTGGACTATTAACTGTTACAGCCCACCAGCCATTCCCCAGAAACCCTATACAGGGTTGCTATGAGTTGGAACCAACTCAGTGGCACTAACAATACGACAGGCATGGATGGGAAAGGGGAAGGGGGACGCATTGCCTAAGGGGTATTGTGTTTCTCTGTTCAGGGCCATGGAAAATGTGGGGCAATGTAGTAGTAACGATGTTTTTACTTCATGGTGAACTGAATTATAAAACCAGAAAAAGAAAGTGGTCCATATGGCATTTCTTTGGCACTACAGTCATGCACTCAAGGAGCCCTGGTCGTGTAGTGGATAATGAGCTGGGCTGCTAACCACAAGGTCAGCAGTTCGAACCTACTACCAGTCACTTGGTGGGAGAAAGATGACACTGTCAGCCTCGGAAATGCTATTCAGAGGCACTATGAGTCAGAACCAACTCACAGCACACCAAGCACTACCACATTCAGTAGAAAGACGGCAATGGTGTTTGCAAATAGTTCTAACAGCAGAGCATTCAAAGCCTGGGAGAGGCGTAAGGAGGAATCAGTCTGAAGCCAGAGGTGAAGAGATTGAGTTTTTGATCCTGACTGTCCTCCAACTTGCCACAGGGGTGTTGGGCAGGTCTGTTCTTTGTGCCAGGGTGAGGTTTCCCATCTGTAAATTTGCTGTCATATCATCTCTCTACCTCACAGGATTTCTGAAGTAAGATCAGATTTTGTTTTTCCTTCTCTCTACCCACACTGTGGATTCTGGGTGTAGCACTGTGGGTTTACGCGCTGGACTGTAAAGTCAATTTGAACCGCAAGGTTGGTGGTTCAGACTCACCAGCTGCTCCTCCAAAACCCTATACAGGGACGCTATGAGTCAGAAACAACTCGACAGCACTTCATAACAACAACAATCCACACTGTACCCCCAGCAAATGGTATAGACTCAGATTTGATTCTCTTCCTGTTTGTGATGCACTAGAACTTTCTCTATGGCCTTCTCTTTTATTCAGGTCCTTTAAGGCAATTGACTCAAAAACCCAAACTGAAGAGACTGAGAATTAAAAAAGCCTGAGACAACTGCCCATAGGAGTATCCAGCTGGGACAGAGGACAGGCTCACCCTAAACCCCAGGTTACTGTCTGTCTACAAATCCTCTTCACCTGTGGAGATAGGAACCAGCGAGGGGAAAAAAGAAAACTGTATTTATCAAAAAGATGCTCAGTTCTTAATTATGAATAAATAGGGAAGGAAATAAACATCCTTAAATTCTACTTGATTTGGATAACAGTCATCATTCATTCCTTTGAAATTTTATTAGAAAGTGTTTGTCGGGTACCATCTAAGTGTTAGGTTCACCGCCCCCCCCCCAAGCTCACATAAATGAATAAGGCATGGCCACTTGTACCAAGACTGTCCAGTCTAATGGGAGAGACAGACAAGTAAATTGATCTACAACTGGCTACACAGGTGACTGGGAATGTCCAAAGGGGCTGAAGAATTTTGCCAGGTGTCAGGGATGGAGCACCAATGGGGATGGAGCAGGGTTGAGGTCAGAGAACCACTTGGGTTTCATCTTGTGGGTAACAGGTATAGAGGGGGAGCGGAGGAAGCCCCAGTAGGGAAGTGTTAAGCAGTAGAATGAGTGGGTAAGGGGTTCTGGAAGCTGCCCTGGCGGCTCCCAGCAAAGTGCATGGGAGTGAGTAAGCTGGAGGTGAGAGACCAAAGACGATACAATAATAGTCCTGACTGTTGTGGTGCTGCAGGTTAAAGCGCTGGATTGCAAAGTCGGTTTGAACCACAAAGTCGGCAGTTCAAGCTCACCAGCTGCTCCTCGAAAACTCTATACAGGGTCGCTATGGGTCGGAATCACATTTTTAATGTGGAATATGCAGACTTTTAATATTGGTGATTCATTCTTTTTTTTTTTTTAAACAAGTAGATACCACAGGAGCGAACAAAATCCATTAGTAGTCTGAATTTTGCACACAGGCTGTTAGTTTCTGACCACTGCTTGGATCTTGTTAAGTGCTGTCAAGTCAATTCCAACTTGATTTCTGGCTTCTCTTAAAAGCAGGCTGCACTTGGGCCTGCATTCCCATGACAACGTGGTCTTGCTTTCCTCTCTCTGCCGCCGCCCACACCGGCAGTCTGCACTCACAGCACCTGTTTGGCCCATGCAACCTTTAGCACAACCTGCAGTATGCAAGGAAGATGTGCAGAAAACCAGGTGGGGTGAATTGATATATTATAGCTAAGGTAAAATTGACAGGTCTAGGTGACAAATGTGGGAGATTAGAAAGGGAGGGAGGGAGGAGCAGGTAGGAAGTGGAGATGACACTTTGTTCCTGACTGGAGAGATGAGGGAGGTGGCCTTCAACTCCAGGATGGGAAGCCCAGCCAATCATCTTCCTAAACCCAGGATACAGCTTAATTGGGGCTCTGCCTGAGAGGACAACATTTAGGATTCAGTGATGCCCTGGAAGTGGGGCTATGACACGGGCGTGTGTGTCTTGACCTTCTCCATAACTCCATTCTTTTGTATTCAGAGTGAATATCAACAGAAATTTAGTATATTAAATCTACTCGCAATCTAGATTTGAAGAACAAGTACTGGGAAGCATGTAAATGAAAAGAAAGACAGAGTCCCATCTCTGTTTCCTTGGACCCATTGTCTCCCAGAAGTGCCAAGACCCACAGCAGGGCTGGGGCTGTCATGCTTGGCTGGTCGTGGACAGTCCTGACAAAGCTTGGGGGGATTTCTAAGACAAGGCAGGTTGTAAGGTGTTCAGGGTGATGGAAAAGTCAAACCCACATAACTACATAGGGTTTCCTATACAGGGTTTTCCAGACTGAAAATCTTTTCGGGAGCAACCAGTTTCATCTTTCTCCCAAGGAAGCAGCTGGTGAGATTGAACTGCTGACTTTGAGGTTCGCAGCCCAATGCTTAGCCCACAACGCCACCAGGGCCCTTTCCTGTTGACAGTTTTTGTTATTGTTAGGTATCGTCAAGTCGATTCAGAATCATAGCGATGCGATATAGGGTTTCCGAGGTACAACTGGTGAGCCTTGAGATTCAAACGGACCTTACCCTACAGTGCCACACCAGGACTCCTCCTGATAATTAGGGGCTCCCCATTTCTTCACTCAGGTCTGGTAGCGTAGTGGTTAAGAATCGGGCTGCGAATCGCAAGGTCCGCAGTTCGAAACTATCAGCTGTTCTGTGGGTGAAAGATGAGGCTTTCTGCTCCGGTAAAGATTTACATCCTCGGAAACCCTGTACAGGGTTACTATGAGTCGGAACCGACTCCACGGTACTTAACAACAACAACAAGACTTCTTCACTCAGGAGATTTCGCTAGGTCTCAGAAAGAAAGGCTGTTGACAATCCTCTTTTGGGAACTGGTCAAAATCGGGAGGACCCCCGTGTGCGAGGCAGCACCGCCACCTAGAGGAATCATGGAATTCTACAGGTTTATTCTTCAGACCAGGACAGGTGGAGACAAAGAACCAAGCGTGCTTTTTTATCAGCCTTGGGGGCTGTTGAGAGGCCTGAAGGCAAAATGGACAACAGGTGAGGCTTGGTTTTGGAGCCCTCTTATCTCTTTCCTCAAAATCAATAGGAGCTCAGAATTATAAAAAGTGAAATCACATGTCGTTTTGTTTTTTTTCAAACCCCTCTAATCTCAGAGGAAATAGGTCTTTGCAAAGGACTTACTTACAAGGCCTTCTGTGATTTCTTCCACTGTCCAGCCTGTTACTTCTCTGTCCTCAGCCTTCTTGTGTCTCAGCTTTGTCAGGCTCATTTCTGCTTCAGGACATTTCCACTAGCTGTTTCCTCCATCTGGAATGTTCTCCCCAACATATCCATGTAACTAACTCTTTAATTGCCTTCAAATCTTTGTTCATATGTAACCTCCGCAGTGTGGCCTAGAATGAAAGGTTTAAAATTGCAACTCCTTCCATACATACATCAAATCTCCCTTACCCTGATTTTTAACCCTAAAGTACTGCTAGACCCCCCCAAAGAATATATAATCATGATATAATTTATTTAGTGATTATTGTTGTTAAGCATCGTCAAGTCAGTTCTAACTCATAGTGACCCTGTATAGGGTTTCCAAAGGGTTTTTAATTTTGCAGGAGCAGAAAGCTTCATCTGTCTCCCACAGAATGACTGGTGGCTCGAACCAGCAACCTTGTAGTTCACAGCCAGTGGTTATCCTATATTTCTTGTTTATTGACTGTTTTCTCCCATTAGAATGTAAGTTCCACAAGGATAGAGAGTCTTGTCTGATCTTCATTGCTGTATCCTAAGAAATTACCACTTGTCTGTTAGTTTGTCATACTGTGGTGATTTGCATGTTGCTGTCATTCTGCATACAGGCAGGGTTACCCATGGTGGACAAGTCTCAGATGAGCATCAGACTAAGACAGACTAGAAAGAAGGAGAGACAGACTATTTCTGCATATTTAGTCACTGAAAACATTGTGAATAGCAATGAAACAATGTCAGATAGCTCCAGAATACTGACTATTGAAACATCATGAAGAGCACCAGACTATTGTCAGATATAGTGCTGGAAAATGAGCCCCTCAGGTTGGAAGGCACACAACATACAAACGAGGAAGAGCTGCCTCTTCAAAGTGATGACATGAGTCGAGTCAAGTTTTCGGAACCTTCATTTACTGAAGGAACACAACTCAAAATAAGGAGAAATAGCTATAAACATCCATTAATAATTGGAACATAAAATGTATGAAGTATGAATCTAGGAAAACTGGAAGTTGTAAAAAATTAAATGGAACACATAAACATCGATATCCTAGGCATAAGTGAGTTGAAATGGACTGGTATTGGCCATTTTGAATCTGACAATCACATGGTGGAATCACATGGTGGGAATTGAAGAGGGATGGTATCACATTCATCATCAAAAAGAACATTTCAAGATCTGTCTTGAAATACAACACAGTCTGTGGTAGGATAATATCCACAGGCCTATAAGGAAGATCAGTTAATGCAACTGTTCTTCAAATTTATGCACCAACCAATAAAGCCAGTGAGGAGGAAATTAAAGAATTCCATCAACTTCTTTAGTCTGAAATTGATCAAACATGCAATCAAGATGTATTGATTATTACTGGTGACAAGAATGGAAAGGTTAGAAGCAGAGGAAGGGTCATTAATTGGAAAATATGGTCTTGGTGATAGAAATGATGCTGGAGATTGTATGATAGAATTTTGCAAGACCAATACCTTTTAAAAATAACAAAGAAGATTACTATATACATGGACCTCA